CGGACCGCGAATTTAACCACCCGTAACTCCCGAACCCCGGGGGCTATCCACGCGGGGGTGGTCTCATTCGAAAGAGGGCCTCGAGACGTACACTTGATTCGCGTTCGAGAGGGTTCCTCGAGCTGAATGGATCCCCCCGAATTTGGTGTGGATTCGCCGCGCCGTTACGGAGATATGGCCGTTCAAAGTTCCAATGGTTTTCCATTGACTTAAGCTTTAAAGCGTTTCATCCAGGTCGCCAGTAGCAAACAATGGAGCGCGCTCTGCTGGACAAACTAATTACACCATTTCAAGCATTTTATCTGCATTATATGTTCTGTAAAAAAAATGTTAATATCGGCGGCATATTCGCCGTTACCGATATATCGGCGACAGGCTCATATCGGCCGATAATATCGGCAAAACCGATATTTTTATCTGTCAGGCTCTAATTTATATTGTACATAAACTTGAAAGTAGAACCCAATCTCGTTTTGGTTAAATGTGATATGGATATTTTTTTGGAATTCAGTCTTATAATACTGTAATACAAAATTAAATCATTGTTAAAATAACTACCGGAGTATTATAGTGCAATATTAATACATTTGTATTAATTTCTTTAAAAAACAGCATTGCTAGGTGGTCCAGTTAAACCCTAAAGCTTTTATTCTGACAAACATCTGAACTTTTGTGTGCAATTCTTATTGAGCTCCTCACTCCAAATTAAATAACCACCTCCTCTGTCTACAAAACTCTGGTGTCGTCATTTTATGTTAAATATTACAGTAACCTGTGGCACCAAAATATCTGAAATTATTGCATCATGAGCCCTTGTGTGTTTGAAGTATGTGCAGTAGACTAGTGTTGCCACGATACCAACATTTTGACTGCAACACGATACCTGACTAAAATATCTCGATACTACTACTGAACCGATACTAGGACAAACACATAAAACAACAGAAGTAATTAAATAACAGATGATCCAAATGGAGCTTATAGTTATTTTATCTATTTATATAAAGAAAACAACACTGAAATCTTTCACTTGACCTGTGTGTGCCTGCCCTGCTTTTTGAGCATTTCATCCCCCTTTAAAAAAAAATTTAAAATCACATGCCAGTGCCACTACACAGGACTTATGGTGAGCAACTACCGAGCCTATAGGTATATATAGATATTTGCAACATTGGTAAGTTAGCAAAAAGGATAAAGCCGCATAAGACGGTTATTATTTACCTCAATCGCCCCATCAAACTCAGATGGTGAAAAAGTTAATGTCACAAAATAAATCACACATCACACACATATTTGGAGGCATGAGCTAGAGGTGGGAAATATTACCAAAATCAATACGAGTAATTTTATTTCACGATAACAATTTATATCATGATATCGTCATTTTTGTCATTTTATCATTATTAATAAGAACAAATGACATTGATGTCATCAATAAGTGAAAGTGATGTGTGTTACTATGGTAATTCAACGTAAAAATCAACGTACCTCACTTATCAAGAAGAAACAAAGCAACCTCAGCGTCCGATTCCACGCCTTCCTGCTCCTTGAGTTCTCTCCACCGCTGGAAAGCTACTCCAATATTTACGTGGGTCCTACCTCTTGCCTGATCGTAACCCTTTTTTTTTTTAAATGTTTTGTTCCTCCAAAATTTTCCTCTTTTTTTTATCTGCCATCTCTCGCCATCTCTTCTCCCTCTCATTACTAGACACGCCCTTTACTGCTGATTGACAGCAAGTTTGTTTTGGGACACTGTGGTCAAAAGCGTATTTTCAAATACTGCTTAGTGCACCTTTAAGCATGCAAGAAGAGGCCCTAAGGAGTTGCCTTCCTTTTTTTACTGGTACATATATTTACGTATCATCGGCATAACAATGAAATGATATTCCATGTTTACTAAAAATAGACCCAATTGGAAGCATGTACAATGAAAACAAAATGGGTCCGAAAATGGATCCCTGAGGGATTCCACATATAAGAGAGGCCGACGATTATGTAAATTCACCCAGGGTAACTGAAAAGCTCCTATTAGTTAGACAGGACTTAAACCAGTTTAAAACAGTGCCACAAATCCCTATCAACCGTTCAAGTCGTGCAATAATGATTTCATGGTCTATGGTGTCAAAGGCTGCACACTAAGGTCTATTAACACCAAAACTGCAGCATCACCAGAGTCTACAGTTAGCAAAATATCGTTGAGAACTTTCAAAAGTGCAGACTCTGTACTATGATGCTCCCTAAACCCAGATTGGAATACTTCAAATAAAGAATTCCAATTCAAAAAAGACAGCAGCTGAATTAGAACAGCTTTCTCTAGCACTTTCGAGACAAAAGGTAATTTTGAAATAGGCCTATAATTTGAATAATCTGTTGGATTCAGCTTAGTGTTTTTAATTAAAGGCTGTACTACAGCATGCTTAAAGAAGGCAGGAACAGTCCCCAATGCAAGGCAGCTACTTATTATTGATAAAACACTAGGCCCAACTACATCAAATGTTTGTTTAATCAGTCTTGATGGAACAATATCAAGAGGGGAATCAACTATTTTAGCCAAGGTGGAGATTTGAAACTAGGGGTGCTCCGACTGATCGGCTACCGATCACTATCGGCCGATAATCACTTTGGGATGTTTGATCGGCGGTCTCTAAAAAGGCCGATCTCAAAAAAACGATCTCAAGCTGATGACGCTGCTGTGAGAGGTTTGGCATGACATGCAGCGGCACCGTCTCAGTCTCTGTCCGGTGCGGGTAAAATAATTATAATGCTGAAAGTGAGGTAATCACCTTCATATTTCTTAATTAAATAACTTATAAAGTAATTTGAAAACCTTGTGTGAGGTCAACACATATGGCTTTTTGGCTAGGTTTAAAGGATAAGAGCACTTTTAAATAAACAAGGCAATAATAGATGGCACCCGTAGAAAACAAATTTCTTTATGAACCACAGGATTGCTTATAATAAAGATTTCAATGCAAAAGGAAAGGCAGTAGAGCTGACTATTTCTGTCAATGGTAAGTTTGTGATAAAGTAAGAAAAGTAGTTTACATGTTTTGCCACTTGCTTGAGCAACTTAATATATAAATCTAAAGTAAATGCAAAAGTAAAAAGCATTGAATAATGTGTTGCTTATATTTATTGTGTTTAAATCCTGATTGGAGTATTACTATAAATTGTTATAAATGATAAAAAGAAGGCTTTAAAAAGATCGGTATCGTTGATCGGTATCGGCAGATACTGCTTTCTGTGATCGGCCTCAAAAATCCTGATCGGAGCACCCCTATTTGAAACAATATCGCTCATTAGAACATGCAGAAACTAAGAAATGAATTTCTCTATAGAGATATTTACTTTGTTAAGGGATAATGACTGGAAAAGTGTAAAGAATTCAAAAACGTGAAGTGTTTGTCATGTACTGACCATAAAGAGAAGTTTAAAACCACAATTGTTGGTCTGGTTTGTACAACTTTTACTTAGGAGCAAATATCTGCCTTTAAACTTGACAGAAATAAAGATTTGAAATGCATTGTGATAATTATCGATATCAACTGATTTGAAAAATGTTATCATGATCATTTTTTTGGCCATATCGCCCAGCCCTAATAATAACTAATTTTAACATCATGCACGTCACATGCTTTATTATTTTCTCATTCATGCATGTTTCTTATCCACTCTTAAATTGTCAATAAGTTTAAGCAGCCCTGCGCTGGGCAGATATATAAAGTTTGGCACGACTAGCACTGCACACACACTGCTCTACTGTATCATCAGCCTCACACGTAGATGCAACTCAGGAAATACAGCTTAGTAAAACACATTCTTAAAGTACCGGTACTAGTAAAATGCGGAATCTCAACATTTTTAAAAGCAGGATATTGTGATACCTTTTTAGTACCGATATATCGTGCTAACACTACAGTAGACAACAGAACAGAGTGCCGCCCATTAAATTTGAAGCACAGAGAAAATGCAGACTACATTAACCATTTTCTATTTTCAAACACTTTAAAATGTAATTTTTTTTCCTGTGATGATGGCAAACCTGAATTGTCAGAAGCCATTACTCCAGTTTTCAGTATCACATAACCCTTCAGAAATCATTCTAAAATGCTGATTTGCTGCTCAAGAAACATTTATTATTATTATCAATATTGAAAACAGTGGCTGCTTAATATTTTTGTGGAAACCATGACACATTTTTAACCAGAATCCAAATGCAGGTCCAAACGCTCTATCAGATACCAAAGCAAACAACAAACGGTGCTAATATACACACTGTGTGCTGTAGTACAACCCCCCCAAAAAAATCATGATTCTAACCTTTATCTCCAAATCGAAATAACATTTGACTACACAGGGATTTCTCTTGAATCTGAACTGTTGAAATACTTCCTGTCCGGGCTCACAGGCAGCGGAGCGGAATCCCCACAAAACATAAATGCAATTCACAATCCATCATATAAACATCAGAGCAACACTAACCAATCCAAGAGCAGTATTGTTGACTCCATGACATAATGACAAGTCAGTAATGCTCAGCACTCAACACAAGCAATCCACACTTATGAGCTCTCAGCAGACATGAGTGCTGTTATGAGTGCTGCAACTTTCATGCTTAGCGCGCCGGTAATTGATCTTGACACCAATCCAACTGACTGACAGAAAGAGAGAGAGAGAGAGAGAGAGAGAGAGAGAGAGAGAGAGAGAGAGAGATCCTGACGTCTCCCTCTCTACAGCCCCTCAGCAGCTGTTAACAGAGACTGAGAGCATTCAGTCTTAAACACTGAATGTTTTAGACATCTGATCAGACTCCAACACCACTGCAGCTGTCAATTCCCATACTGAAAATCAGGAGACAATACCTGTTTGCTAAATAATAGGACTGTCAATCCATTACCAGTTTTAACTGAATTACATATGCTGGTTAATCAAATAATTCGCATATCAGTATTTAAGGAAAAATGTTCCCAAATGAAGATAAGTCAAAGACTTTGTGACAGATGAGTAAATAATTTAATAGATATGACATTAAATGGTTTTTATTAAATGTCTGAAACATACTTTCCCTCTGTATTATTTATTTAATTGTTGGTTTGTTTACATAAGCATCAGACATGTTAGCATAATCATAAGAAATCATTACTGTAATGAGAATTAATCACCAGCAATTAATAATGAACATGTACAATGAACTTGTCTGATTGTGGTAGTCATATTTTTGTATAACAATGATAATGTAATGACAATTTTAATCACTGTTGGACCTAGTGTTTTTGCTTTGTGTTTTGTTTAAAAGCTGGTTTGTTTGACGGTTACAAAAAAACTGCTTGGAAGAGCATGAGAATGTTTTCAGCATGAGTGTCTGAGATTGTTTGCTCTGTTTTGTGCGAAGTCAGGAAAGGTTTCATAACTGTTCTCATGCAGAGAAATTTCAAGAACATCAACATTCTCACTATGTTCATTCTCAAGTCCTGAACTGACAGCTGTTTATAGTTTAACAACAAAAGACTGAAGACATTCAAGCTCAAGTCAAATGAAAAGGAGAATGAATCCTTACCTTTAATCTTCAGCTTGTCACGTTCTTCCTGACTGATGTTCTCACTTGCTGTCAGGTACTCGTGAAACTCTTTAAAGCCAATAGACTGGAATATGCCATGCTGATAGTCCTGACTGCAAACACAGAGGAGAAAACTAAATTCCTTATGTACACAACTAAAGTAAATGTAAGTGATTTTTGTCCACAAGAGCACCACAATGCTAGAATGCTCTGGGTTTTTGCCAGGGTGTTAAGTATAAATTTTTTTTTTTTTTAAACTAGCCCCAAACTTTTAAACCGTAGTGTAAATGCATGCTATACAATGTGTGAATCAATTAATAAATACATATATAACAATAACAAAACAAACATTTCTGTACACAGTTTTAAAGCAGCAATAATTTAATGAAATTACATTTAAAAAAAGAGGAAGAAAAATGTTCTGCAAAAACAGCAAACCATAACTGTATTTTCTTCTATAAAATGTAAGGGATAGGTAATGTTTATAATGCTATTACAGCTATGATTCTTTCAGCTATGAATTTCAATTAAATATGAACCTAAATCTGATGTACAAGATAAATAAATGCCTTCTGTTGTGCTCCGTCTGGGTGAAGTTCAGTTATGTCTGAAGTTTAACAGCAACTCAGTTACAATAAGCTTTTTTTTGTGAAATAGAAACACTCTCAAAAGCTTGAATTTGCAACATTTCACTGCTATGAATATATTATATTACGTTATGCACTGGTAAAAGTATTCTGAAACCACAAGCAATCTGTCAAAGCATCAACCATCTCATATGAAACTACATACTTTAAAGAGTTCTTTAAAAATAGTTTAAAGTGCTCCCATGTTTTTCAGCACCATAGATTGTGCACTTTTTCCACAACAGCTCACATTTTTCAAATGCACTTCATTATACAAACACACCTAATGCTACAGTAATTAAACCGAGACTAAACAACAAAGCTTTTCCTTTTGAATGTTTCATTATCAATGTTATTGCTTGGCTGTAGCAGAATTTAAAGAACAATATTATAAGTATTAGGCCCTTTGGGCGAACTAAAGGGTGAAATCAAATTCAATGTTTAATGGGACTCAATTTTAGATGGAAACACGGTCACTGGGTGCATCAGAACACCAGCCCCTGGGGTAAAAATGAGTCATCATACAGCTCAGAAAACAGAGATCAGCCGGTCATAGGGACACAGACAGTACAGACGGGGCGAGGGGGAGGGGGTCTATTGACAGGACAGAGCGAGATAGACCGAGAGGGAATGGAAAGGAGAGACAGGCAGAGTCTGACCTTGCTGCCTTGTGACTGCTTCCAGTGTAAGGTGAGAGGGCTGGCGGAAGGGCGGCAGATGCAGACAAAAAGAAGAGAAAAAAGGAGGAGGAAGAGAGTGGGATGACGTGAGGAAAGAGGAGAAAAGAGCTTGGCTGGCAAGTTTGCCAACGAAGACGTCTGAGAGGAGAGGCGGGGTGCGATCGACTGGACGGAGAGCCAGGCATTCGGCCATCAATCAGCAGAAGCCACACCCAGAGCGGCCCAACCCCAGACACTGCTGTGTCATCAACATCCACACAGACACACCGCAGTGCAGTCCATCCACCAATATCCCCGCACAACAGAGCATGCGACAGCACTAACAATCAATAATTAATCACCTTTTCAAACAAATATTGTTAGTGCATCAGTAAATACAGTCTAAAGCACGGGACACAGCATCATGGGCTTCGCTGATGTTCTGATTGCTAAAAGATCTGAAGATTACAGCTGAATCTGCTGTGCCATATATCTATAGCCTGATTGGCAAATTGACTGACAGCACTGCGCCACCACGTGATGCTTGTCTTTGCAAAAATCACCACTACAAAACTACAGTGTCATTGGTGGATGGTGGGGCAATTCTATGTGGTTGCTAGGGTGTTTTGGTTGGGTGGTTGCCGAGCCATTTCCATATGATTCCTAGCCTGTTAGGAGCGGTTGCATGGTCATATCTATGTGAGGGTGTTATGAGTGGTTGCTAGGGCATATACATGTGAGAGTGTTATAAGTGGTTGTCAGGGCATTTCCATGTGATTGTTAGGTTATGAGCGGTTGCATGGGCATATCTATGTGAGGGTGTTATGAGTGGTTGCTAGGGCATTTCCATATGATTCCTAGGCTGTTATGAGAGGTTGCCAGGGTGTTTCCATATGATTGTTAGGGTGTTATGAGTGGTTGCCAGGCCATTTCCATGTGATTCCTTGGCTGTTATAAGTGGTTGCCAGGGCATTTCCATATAATTGTTAGGCTGTTATGAGTGGTTGCATGGGCATATCTATGTGAGGGAGTTGTGAGTGGCTCCTATTAGGCAGTTATGAGTGGTTTCCAAGGTGTTTTTACGCAATAGTTTGGGTGTCATGAGCAGATGTCATGGCGTCCAGGGTGTCATGCACTTATCGTCAACAATTTCATTGATGTCTGAACCTCAAAAGGTGTGGGATAAGTTATGTCCCAAAGTTTAACACTGAGGGTTGTTTAAATCCTAACCTAAGTATGAGCAACAGTACCGGTGATGCTTGCCTTTGAGAAGCATACTATAAAGACATGCTGACATGGCTTTGACTGTCCTTGAAAAAGTATGAAATTCATTACATTTCAGTTCATTTTAAAGTCATATTTACGTATATATGCATGATGAGATATTTATAGTCTTCATAAATACGGCAAGCTCAATGAAATGTAAAAATCAGTTTATTAGATAACAGGCCCTGAATCACAGTCTAATGCTAATGTCACGGTCGCATCAAATGTTAGGCAGCAGTATGGACCAATACATTTCCTGTGAATTCAAAAGGCATACACGTGTAAATGCAACCTCTCGTAACTCCATGTACTCTGACATCCTGGCCTTAAACGGAGTTTGAAAATTAGTGAGGTCTGGGGTGGGGTTAAGAATTGTGCAAACAACTCATTATATACACTAACACTTTAAAAGAGACAGACATGTAGATGTTCGTGAAAGATGTTTTTTGAGGGATGAACACTGTTAAATTATACCATATTTTATACCATATTTATTGCATCAACATTTGTTAATACTTTACTATAGGTTAGGGGTGGATAATTTTATCAGGTGTTTATTAATCATACAACAACACATTACTGTTACAGTTTTCATTAATAACCTTTGCTATATAGATAACTTTGTCTAGTGCTCTTATGAATGTTCTTAGCATGACTGTGAAAATATAACTACTATACTTAATGAAATAGCATAGACTTCTTCATGGCTAATGTTTGCATATTTCATTTCATTCTGTAACCTACTTGTCCTACAGGTCTGTGTACTAGTGTTAAATGCTACGGTTTTTGATAGTGTTGATAACGTTTGACAGATAATATGTTGTTTTTTGCATTTGTCTTACCAAATGTTGTATCCTGTCAGCAATAACCTGTCTGTGGGCTTTTTGGATTACTGTTAGTTTAAGTGCCGGTGATGCAGTGTTGCCAGATATTGCTATGAAAACAAATAAAAACCAAAACAATTTAAAATAAACCGAAATTAAATCAAATCTTTTGTAATTAAGATAAAGATATCGCTAACCCTAAACTGCTACTTCCCTCTTTATTTTTTTTTCTAAAGTGTCAAATTAAGTGGAAAAAACAAGTACAAAGACACTTATAATAGGTGGATCTGGCAACAACGAAGGCTGTGCCCGCGCCCTCACTCACAACTCTCTCAAGCCTTGTTCACTCCGCCAGCATCTTGCAATGATCATTTTCATACCACGGACGCTAAACATTCTTGCAAACTGTCTAAACTGAATTATACATGCACACACTCATATGAGGAGTTTTAAACAGCAAATTAGTCATTCAGAGAGCAAATTTTATTTTTGAACATGAAAATTTTACCGAGGTCCAGACTTTGGTGACCTCATAGCTGGCTATGGCCATGTCTGACATTACTCAAAACACACCTGAGTCATTCAACCGACTCGGCCACTTTGCCCAAATCAACTGACATCTACGTCAGTTATTGACAACGTCTCACTTGTCAAAGCCCCGGATTCCCACCATTACTTAAGACAAGAACCCCCTCCTAACAAGAACAGCAGGTTATTTGCTAGAACTTATTAACTTAAAAGGTCTGATGTGCAGAACAGGTTCAGCCTGTGAAACTTCGCTTTCTTGTATTTCTCTGACAGTTGAAGAAAAGAAAAGACAGCTGTGCAGCTTTTATGTCAGGCAGCTCGTGCGAGATAAGTTTCACATGGTTCATTCAGAGGTAATACAAGGATTATGAATACAAAACAAATCTGACCTAGTTCCAAAACCAAATAGAGGATCTTAAACCTAGAGGTGTACAACAGATTGGTGGCTTATATTATTCACCAATTACTAGTAAAATAAAGTTATTATAGATACTGATGAATCTATAAAACCAACAACAAATTATGACAGCCTATCTTTAAACTGCTAATTTGTTACATTTGTGTCATTGTTTTTTTCTCTGAAGTGCATGTAAGACAATGTGATATTCAAGTTAGCATATTAGGTTATGCATTGTCAGAAAATCACAAGTGTTTAGTTTCATAAACTGTTTATCATGAATCTAAAAATTTCTGTTTCACAACAGTGAGAGCTACCTGTTTTCTTTGATCTTCTTGTCATTGAAGCGTTGGTGAAAATCTTTAAGCTCATCAATCAGCCCAAGCGACAACATTTGATCCACACGCTTGTCCAACCTCTCATCCAGAGCTACAGAAGAGGACAAATGAGGAAATTAAATAAGGATACGGCAGACATGTTATAGTGCCAATCTACAATGGAGCTACCATTCGTTTCGTAGTGCAGCCAGAAGATGCAAGGGTCCTGGAACCGCAAGGGACCCCCAAGACAATCTCCTCCATCCTGTCCTCGCTGCTCCTCCAAAAGCCGACTGTGTGGAACTCCAGTGTCCATATAAACCTGCAGACTCCTGTTAATCAATCAACCAACCCATCAACTGGCCATCAACTTAGTTAAATTAATGCATTTCTCAAATGCATTTGAAAGATTTACGCATGCCAAATATTATCTTAGCTGAACATATTATTTGGAAAGAACACACCATGTACCAAACAGAAACATGATGAACTACTAACATCCAAACAAAAGATGAACAATGAAGTTTAAGTTTTGTCACGCTGCAGAGGTGGTGCATGGGATTGTGTCAAGCTTGTGAGTTTCTCAAAAGGAGCTGATATCAGGAGGAGACATCAGCACTGTGAACTGTGGGAGAGGAGCTCATCCTCGGCAGCAATACTGCAGATGCAGTGGCACACAGGCTGGCATCAATTAAGCGAGCACATAGTGCTCAGTAGAGGTGCTAATCGGCCCCTTGATACCAATCAAACACCAATTGAGGCACGCTTGGTAGCCACAGCCATCAGCAGTTCTCCCACACAGGTGAAAGAAATAGATGCCCAACAAATGCCAAAATTTACCATGGCAAGACAGAATGATACGGTTCCTACCCAAGTTCACGTCAAGTTCCGCTCCTTTTGTAACAATATATGAGGGGGAAAAAAACAACTCAACATAAAAAGTATAAGAATAAACAGCATTCACTGAAAGAGGAATAAAGGGTAAAGACACAGTAAATAGGGTGACTGGTATCTAAAAAGGTTGGCTGTTCAAGCCCCATGAACTATCACTATTGTGCACTTGAGGAACTTTATTCGATAGCTTCAATTTTAACACCTCAGAACAGGTACAAATTAAGAAAATGGTTATATTTGCGTACACAGAGCTGGAGTCAAAACTAGATGTTCCATGACCAAGACCACTGCCAGGCTCACTAAGAACAAGACCCAAAATGCAGACTTAATCCCAAGAGCCAGACCTGCTGGTCCAAACATTTTAATGGAATTCAAACCCTGAATTAATTGCAGCTTTACTTTCAAACACTGGACTATTTTGTATAGTAAGTAGCACCCATTCAGAGCCATAGAATTCTTACAAATACTTTTAAATTATACCATGCTGATCTGTGACAAAGGTAAAAATATTCACTCAGTGGAAATACACAGTAGTCTTTTCTGTGACTTGTAATTAAGCTTTGTCTCAATGTTTTATATGCTATCACTGAAGTAATTACCTTGCGATCTTGCGTGCATCATGAGGGTGCAATATGGCTGCCATGTCAGGATCCACCTCCTTCAACCGTCTGTGAAGCTCAGGACCTCCCAGTTTCTCAAGCTCTACCCTTGATTCACAAGTCCCACCCTTTTCTGACACTGTGTCACTCCCCTGCTGTAGGTCAGACAGAGGAGGACTCGATTAGAACATATCTGCCAACAGATGCACAGAAAACCTTTTAATATTACTCCGACTTACGAGCTCTGTTTCAAAATGTAGAGAGCTGCCACGTTGCCTACTGCCTTTTACAGCAACATCCAAAACATCACAGAACATCATAAGAGACTGATTAAGAACACTCGACATAGGCAGCAACTCTGTGACACACAAATAGTGAGACTCGCAATTGGTTTTAACAGTTTGCCATTAGCATGTTGCTAAGCTAACAGCATGATATTTTAATAAAGAGTACTCAAAACTGCATTCTGGGATTGTCTTCTCTCTTGGGGTATCTTAAAAGGCAACATAATTAGGATTCCTTCCTTATGGAACAGGCCTCCTGATTAAGGCACGTATATGATATTTAAAGTAGGCAATAGGAAAGTAGGAAATTTCTATTTTCTAAATGAATGTTATTGATCTTATTGTGAATGATTCAAATGATAAATGTCATTTTTAATCAAAATATATCATAACTTGGTCTTCTGGTGAAACTAAAGACTTCTCTCTGGTCATGTATGTTGAACTTTTCCAAAATAAAAGAAAAGCTATGTCGCTACTTTTGTTACATCGTGACTTCAAAATGCTGCCCATGTAGGCAGCTCACTAGATTTTGGAACAGAGCAATTGTTTATACTCATAAAACATTAAAATTCACATTTACCCCAGTGTCGATGAGCACTTTCCATAAAATAGACTCAATGTAGTAGTTTGTGCCTCCAACAATGATGGGCAGTTTTTTCTGACGGTGCATGTCCTCTATGTATGAAATTAAGGAAAGGAATGAGCTTTTCAGATAAATGACGGCATTGTTACAAGCAATACATAAATTATGCACAATGATCATACATGTGCAACCACATTGGATTAGACTGCAGAACACACCAGTGCTACAGTGTTCGGCTGAAATGCAATATCATATTCCTAGATTTATAGCTGTTCTAGCAATAATACATGTAATGTCCAGGCCTGGTGCCGTAAGAGGACACCCGGTTCAACACGACTGCTGGGATTCTGCTAAAGTTAAACGACATCAAAGGCTGCCTCCGTGGAGCAATTCGATAACTGCTTCAATATGAGAAGGTGCATCAGCACTCCTCCTCAATCGAGACGGCCAAACACACACTTCCAGGTCACATGCATCAAAATCAAAGCAGTCTGGACACACACTGTCCACCCCACCCGCATCACTCTGTGATCCCTGGGGAGGGAGGTGGAGAAAACGAAAGAGAGGAGGAGAGAAGAGCAGGGAGTGAAAGGCAGCCATGAGGAAAGGGTTGGGGATGAGATTGCGAGAAACCGATAAAGAGTGGTTAAGCATTTCTGAATGGTTATGACAGAAGATAACTCTTGATTATTTCTCTTGATATCCTAATTGTGATTATTAATTTTAAATGCAGCCCCATTTCTGCGTGCTTTACAGTGGTTATCACTGCTCTTCAGTGAGGGAGCAAGACTGGGGAGCTCATGACCCGCCACTCCTCATTTCTTGCGCGTGAGCGTGAGGTGTCTGCGGCAGCGCTCTTCCAGACACTGCGAGAGCCGACACACCTCCTCACAGCATCTCCCTCAGCTATTAATATCCTCCTCATCTCTCAGCAAACATCTGCAGCAGGCGGGCGGGGGAAACGAGGACAGCCACGCGCCTCGCTCTCCGTCACACGCATTTCCAGTTATGCCCTTGCATGTACTGAAAGAGCATGCCCAGGGAGTACAACCCAGTGCCCACTCATAAAATGCCACAGCCATTCATGTGGCTCGCTGGGAAATGCCACATTCCACAAAAGACGAGAAATTAAAAGATTGGGATTCGCATTCAAACAAGACAGTCTCACAATAGCAGCGTCACTGATGTCAGGGAGGCGATGACATTTTAAAAGAACAATTACTCAGAATGATCATTAAGAAGTTTGCAGATGATATCTTAAAAGGCTGAGTAATGGCCCATTAATTTCATCTGCAGAGACAAAATAAAAAGCATTTATATTTAGAAGGGGCTGTCAACTAAACGTGTCAACTAAATGAATTTCTGCAACCATTAATTATGGGGAGTATGGACTGGGCAAAATGGCCGACTAGTCACCCAGTTAACTAGTCAAAGGGTTCCAGACTATGGGGGAGACTGTTGAGAAATATGCTCCTCAAATTACAGGACAATCATAAAAATTACTCGCTGTTCAGTAAGGGGGTCGACTGTAAACTCAGTGACAGCTCTGAATGCTTCCCTGGCTATGATTCAGATCGCTAAAGTGTCAGACCCATTCACACCGAGAAAAATAACTATAGCAATAACTACTTAATGTTAACACCAACGCATGATAACATTCTAAGCGCGCATTTGCCGCTTTAAATGCTTGAGCTCTTTAATGTCAGGTGGATTCTGATTGGCTGTCAATGCTTTTATTGTTCCTTAGCTGGAAAAATATGTTCTGAAAGGGAGTCCAATGACATAGTTCCTCCATATCGTTGTTACAGCTGTGATGTTGACTTCGTTATTCTCATAGAATAAGAACAATTTTTAAAACTTTATCGTTATAATTACCATCCTCGGAATGAACAGGCCTTTCTTCACAAGCAAAGTTTGAGAGAGTTTTGTTAATCTAGTGATAGACTCATTAAAAAAAAAACTGTTTATAAAGAGTCACTTGTTCATGAATCAAGCACAGACATGGAAAAATACCTAAAATAATTTAATTCGACCTGGAAGATTCTGGAATTTCACTATGAAGGGTTGGACATATCAGAAAGGATATGAGAGACAGAGCCTTGTTCTTGAAGTCCACCACTGTGTATCCACTAACCAATGGATCCACAAAGCTGATCATGTGATGGCGACACTGGGCTTGCTCCTCCTCTGTAACCTTATTGATGATGATGTCCAGCCCTTTGTAAACCTGCAGTGAGACAGAGGTAAAATAGGTCACAGGCATGTCCTCACTCTCTCCTACATAACTATTGTCATGGTTTTTATGTACTGTATGTTTGACTATTGTGTAGAAGCAGAAAGACATTTGTGTGCAACTCAACAGAAAGATCTATTATCTTCAATGAACCTCAATGAAACCATTGGATTCCAGTATATGAATGAACAAGAACCAGTTCTGAATTCCCAACCCTAGTTACGTGGCATCAGTCCATAAGTGGACAGTAGGGGTGTGCCATATCATACCGTCCACGATAATACTGGTATAATTTTTTACATGATAAAAAAAAAAAAAGTGTCATATCGCGATATCAATGATATAGCGACGTGATGACGTATGGCGGATATACGTTCCCTGGCGCGCAAAAACAACAACGACACCACCACCACCACCACCACCACCACCACCACCACAAACCCAATAGGTGTGTTCGACTTGAAGCAGCGCTGCGCAGACTGATCGGTCTATTCGGTCTAT